CTGTCTTATGGTCACCCTGCTGTCCACCAACACCCCCAGCTCCTTTTCTGCCCAGAAGCTCTCAGCCACTCATCTCTGAGCCTGTAAGGCCTGTTGAAGGTTTTCCAGATGCAGCTCAGCATTGATGAAGCAAATGAATCCAACCCATCAGCGAGCACAACACAGTGAAAGGCAGAAGGTCAAGAGAGTGGTGGTGCCACCATCAGCACTCTCCATCTCCTGATGAACACCACCTCAGACTGCTCCAGCAGGAACTGGAGTTGTCCAAGGGTGTTCACACTGGCAAGGGCTTGCCCACTTGTCCATAGGGAGGCAGGTATAGGGCAGAGATGGAAAGTGGTGAGGAGAGGAGTGGGTAGGAGGCCTTGACTGACTTCATGGTCATGTGTTGGTTCCTGGGCAGTGATTTATTTGTGTTATCTGACAGATCTGTGCCTCATTCCCCCAACCATAAACCAGTGAAAATGTGAATGGATAGAGACATAAGTAATGTTACAAGTGCTGCTACTTTGCCTTCGGCGTGCCCAGAAATACCCAGATGGGAACACGATCTCTGCTGCAAATGATTAATCACAGAGGGATTACAAGGAGAAAGATGATATTGGTTAACGTCTGAGATTAATTGGAAAGGGAATTTGCATTGACCAGGTTTATTCATACTTTGTTGTCAGCCCTATCGCATCCAAAGGAGCTGTCCTGGCACTTGCAGAGTTACTAATTTATTTATTTATTTATTAGTTTGAATGTACATATAAAGAATCTGAATTAGTGTAATTGTTTCCTAAATTCATTAGCAAATTACACTGTAGCAATATTAAATTTTGTCCATTCTGTATGTCCACAAGGCTATTCTCTTCCTACTCCTATATCTGTTTTATCAGCCTAATCTAATGTGATGCATTTTATCCCATTTAAACTTATAAAATGTAGTTTATCTAGTGCAACCTAAGCTGTTTGATCTAAGATATTTATAAAGCTTCACCCTTGCCACAGGTTAAGATTTCATGCCGGTTCCTGGATTTCATGCTCTCAATGCCCATAAGGCAAGGCTTTTTAAGCCCTTTTTTCAGATGGGGGCTGAAGATACAAGAATCTGAGCAACTTTCTCATTATTAGAGAAATAAGCCAGTGGCAGAGCAAGGAATAAACCCTGTGGTGCTTTCCTACCATGTTAGAAATCAAAATAACACTGATGAGCACATGCTGTTCTCACTGATTTCCTTCTGGCATCCTGGTCATTCACAGTGGCATAAGAAGCATTGAGCGTGAGGGCACAGGGTAAAGGCTGGTACAGAGTGGGATGTGGTGTAGATTACATGGGATGTGGGGTCTTCACCTTGCACTTGGAGGTCTGTGGACACAGTGGCTTGTGCCTGATGGAGAGAAACGAGTTGCAAACACCAGGTGAGTGTTTGGGAGCAACAGGAGAGGGATGCTGGACCTTTGAGGTTATGGCCATGGAGTAGCATCATATTGGATGGATTTACTGCTCCAACCTAGTTCACCATGGTGAGACCCGGGCTTGGAGAGCACCTAACAGAGCAGAGCTCTCCTCCAGGCCTGGATACATCTCCTGGGGACTGGTTTGAGGGAAACCACTGCTTGCTGGAAGGTCACTGGCTGGGTACCAAGCAGGTATCTCCAGGCACTTCTCCATGTTATGGAGTATCTCCACCAGGTACTTCTCCATGTTACATGCCCATGTTGAAGGAGAAGTGAAGAATCTTTGGTTTTTGCTCTTTTTGGTGCTATGGATTTGAATCTGGAAGTGAGTCAGAGTGACACATCTGTCAGAAACAATCAGGGAACTGGGAAGGATGAGACATGCCAACACCTTTTCAAGATGCATCCAAGTGCAGCCTGAAATCTGGGCTAATGGCTGGTAAAGATTAGGTGGTGATCTCTGAATCTGTGTTTTGATGGTTAATTCTTAGTTAATGTAGTGAATTTACTGCTGGATTCTCCAGAGTTGAACCTGAATCCCAGCATCCACCCTTGAACACTGAAATGGTCCTTCCCCAAATTAGCAGAAGACTGATTGTCAGCTAATTGACTCCAGTGGAAATTTCCACTGACTTCAGTGCACTTTGGCTGAAGCCCAAAGCTCACATCTGCATCTTCTGACCATTCACGCAGCTTCCCCGTTCACAAATTTGCAATGGAAAATGCTTTTTAAATGAAAAATACATTTCAAAGCTCAAGTGAGGACAGAGGTAGAAGGCGGTAAGAGGGACTAAAGAAGTGCAAACTCGCAGGTTTCTAAACCAGTTTTAAATCAAGGCAAAAATAGTTCTGTAAATTCATTGTGACCGGTAATGAAGGTGACCGCTCTGTAGATCTCAGCACTAATGACTGCAAGTCAATCGTTCTTTGCACTCTTAATGTTTACCATAAATATTTCCCCATTGGTTGGTTTGGGATTTTTTTTCAGATTTACATTCTTTGAAAGCCTTTTCTTAACTTTCTAAAGATCTTTGGTGGAATAATGAAATTTGCTTGCTGAATTAGTTTAGAAAGGATCGATTTTGTCTAAAGGGAAAAGTCTTTAACTCCTTAAGAGTTTTATCTCATCTTTGGAGCAGGAGAGACAGGATAGGATAGGATGTAGTGTACTTTTCCTTTTAAATACAGAAAGAAGTCTGGTTTTGCCTTAGATCTTTGGCCTAAATGAAGTCTGAAGGTTAGCTCAGCTATTCCATCTTCAGTGATAATAATGATTGTAACGAATGCCATCTTATATTTTTGTGCCACCACTTTCCCAGTATTTAGTTTTAATGGCAATTCGTGTCTTTCGATCCCCAGCAGTGTAAATTGAATAAAAACAAAAGTAATTTGGTACTAACTTTCATGCATGATTTGTCCTATACTCCAGCAAGCATTGTCCTATCATATACTGTCCTATATACACTCTGTACATAATTATTTGTGAGACCATCCCTGTCCTGATATGAAGAAGGAATGGGAGGGAAGACACAGGGAAAAGAAGTGATTTCCCCAAGGTCGTGCACCAGATTGGTCCCATTCCCTGGTGCCATCAGTGATCTGCACAGTAACCCTAATGCCCTGCAACAGGAGCTGGAGGAGGATGGAAAAAATAACGAAACCTTTGCCCAAATGGTGACTCAAAGAATTAAAGTAATTTTTTTTTGGTTTGCTGCTACTGATTTCTGCTGGAATTGGGGGGGAGGCTGTGAGGGCATCTGCCATTGGGTAAGGAGTGGGTGGATTTGTGGCCAGCGGGGAAGCCGAGTGGCCGTAGGATTAGGAAAAGGATATTTCTGTCGTGGTGGTGGGTTATTATTTCCTTTTGGAGTTACTTACAACGTGCAGAGCCCTGGTTGTTTTACGTTGTGTGCTGCTTTGAAGGTGAAAAAGCACAGTTGTAAGAACAACGTGGCAATCACAACCATTCGTACAGCTCGGACAGGAGCGTCTGGCATCATGAAGCCAAAGAGATATTGCAGCTTGGAGAGAAACGGTGTGCTCAAATCTTGTGAGTTTGATTTCAGAGAGGCTCTGAGGTCTAATCCTGCTCCCCGGGAGAGCCAGCTGGTGCATGGTTACTGGTGTTAATGGGGTCAAGACTGGGCGTCTTGCTGTGCTATACTTGTCAAAGTAAATGCCAGCCAATGCACAGAAAAGGGCTTCTTGGGAGATTGGAAGCAGAGTCTAGCAGGAGGTAAAGGACATCCAGGAGGCCGTGTAAGGAGCAGTGAAGAAGTAAGAAAATGTTGTGTGTTATGTGGACTTTAGGGATACTCTGAAGGTGCTGATGGCTGCTGCATTGCTCTCCAACTGCTCAGGGATGGGCAGAATCTGTGTCTGAGTGAATGTTGTTGTAAAGATTAGTGCCACTGGTTGCTTTGGACTTTCTCTGGACACAAAGGCACCAGAATTGCCCTGAGCTTTAATTTTGAACGCTGCCTAAGCCTCGTCCCCTTGGCTGGTCCCTGCCATCAAACAGCAGCAGGCTGGCGCACAGCTCCCTCTGAGAGCAACTGAGAATAAGCAGGCGATGAGACATCTTTCCTGTAAGCCCTAAGCCACGTGGGGCTCTTTTGGAGGAGCCTGGCACCATCTGAATTGCTGCAAGTATTCCCTACAATGGTTTCTTCACGTGATTTGCACTCTTATGTACATAGTGTGTGTGCACCGAGCCGTAGCTGTGCACAAACACCCATCCCTATTGCAGTTGTGGTTGGCCCTGCTCTATCTGGATGAGGTTGTAGTTGAGCCATAGATACTTACTGGCTACCATGGCCATCAAAAGTGCTGTATCTCAGTGGTTGTGTTGAATGGAAGTTGGGAATAAAGAGAAATATCATCAATAATGTGATAGGTATAACTGTGTGTCCTCCTAAAGGTTGGTCCTTGCAGGAAAGAGGTCTGTCTGTGCGAGTGTGGTTCAAGGAACAAGGCATAGGGATGGGTAATGACCAGAGAGGGCAAGAGGAGAGATGGAGCACCTCGTAGAAGCAGAATTAAAACAAATTTTAAAGGAAATAATTTAAAAAAAAATAAAATAATTGAAAAGAGCAAGGCCATTGAGATAGAAAGAGAGAGATGAAAATGAAGAGAGAAGCATGATAGAGGAGATATCATGATGGATGGACACATCTCTCAGAATTTAACATCCATTTATTTCTCTGTGGCTACAGAACCAGCCCATACGTTACATTGTATTAGTGCAGGTCACTGTCGTAGTGCCAAAGCTGAACGGGACGGTCATGTTTTTCCTCTATGAACTGCCCAAAGACATATTTTACTCAGTGGCTCCTGTGGGAAAGTGGGCTACCCTCTCTATCAGCAGCTTATTGAGCTCAAGCCTAGGAAATCTGCATGACCTAAACTATTCTCACCCATACTGAGAAGGGCAATGAAATTGTGACTGTTGTAGATGACAAACATCTTGATACCGTGGAAGTGCAGCAATTCTCTGCCTGCACCACCTAATCTGCATTTTCTTGACATTTTTATTTCTCCCCCTTTAGGAAACCAAGATGGATTACAGCTCATTCAGCGGAGTCCCCCGCTTCTTGACCCGGCCCAAGGCTTTCATGGTGTCTGTGGGGAAGGATGCCACCTTGAGCTGCCAGATCATTGGAAACCCCATCCCAGTTGTCAGCTGGGAAAAGGACAAACTTCCAGTCCAGTCTGGGGGAAGGTTTAAAACCACAGAAGATGGAGATCTCTATCGGCTCACTATCTACGATCTGAGCCTGGAGGACAGTGGCCAATACATCTGCCGGGCCAAGAACACCATCGGGGAAGCTTTTGCAGCTGTCAGCATCAAAGTTGGAGAGGAGACCACAGTGACGGAGTCAGCCCCATACTTCATCCAGAAACCTTCCTCCATCAAAGTAACGCTGGGAGAAGATGCCATGTTCAAATGCAAAGTCCAGGGCAGCCCTCCCCTTTCAGTGAACTGGGAGAAGGATGGGAGACACCTGAGGAACCGGGCTGATGCCGGACGCTTCCAGATTGAGTCTGCTGGGGAGTCAAACGCTCTCACCATCCAGTGTGCTCGGCTGGGGGACAGTGGCACCTACACCTGCCGAGCAGAGAATCCCATCGGCTCTGCCAGCGCTTCGGCCGCGCTGGTGGTGGAAACTCAGGGCTCTTCCAACCCCGGTAGCAGCAGCCTCTTTGATACCGGCTGTGGCAAGACGGCTTCCTTGTTATCTCACTTGCAAAAGAGGCGGGAGGAGATCAGGAAGATGGACATTCTCCATGGGTCTCTGGATTCAGCATCTTCCCAGTCTTACTCCATGGCAGAAGGGTTGTCTGGCATCGGCTACAGCCTCTCCCGGGATTACGAGAGGGCGGCTGGACTGACCACCAAAGGGGCCCGTAACGCGACTTTCGGGGCGCTGACACGCACGTGCAGCGTGACAGAGGGGAAGCACGCCAAGCTGAGCTGTTACGTGACGGGCGAGCCCAAGCCAGAGATCGTGTGGAAGAAGGACAACGAGGTCATTTTGGAAGGGCGGCGACATGTCATCTATGAGGACGATCAGGAGAACTTTGTGCTGAAGATCCTCTACTGCAAGCAGGTAGACAACGGGCTGTACACCTGCACAGCCTCCAACCTGGCAGGCCAGACGTACAGCTCCGTCCTCGTCACCGTAAAAGGTGGGTGCTTAGGTTTCTCACTGGGGTGGGACTTACCTGCAAGGAGACAGCCGATGCACTTCTGAATTGGTGTGGGAGAGTGAACAAAGCTTCTGCCACTGAACCACTGCAAATGAATGTGGGTTAGATGGGAATAAAACCCTCCAGCTGTAAAGGCAGTTAAGTACTGGAACTGACGACCTGGGGAGAAAGTGTCATCACTGGGAGGTTTTAGGAAGGGTAATAAATGGTCACCAGTCAGGGATGGATGATGCAGAGCTGGCTGGTTGTGAGGCAGCTGGGATGAACCAGATCTCTAAAGCTCCTGTCTGTCCTGGTTTTATAGAAATCTAAGAGATCTATTACCATCCTCTGGATCAGTGACTGCTGAAGTCCCATCTTACCCTCCAGGCTTTAATCATGTCTGGGCTTATATTCACCACGGGGTTTAGACAAACTGGCACATCCGTGCCATTTAAGCAGTAGTAGAGGCAACTCCTTCCTGCAAGCCGAGTGTGTCAGGCTGCCCTGGATCCCTTGGGAGACCCACTACAACTCTAATTACAGTCCATCTCAGTTTTTCTGTGCAGAGTGACCCGCCAGCAGCCTTGCTTTTGCCAGGCTCTTCAGCCTTTTTTCAGCTTGTATTGCTGGGTAGTCTTTGTATACTCCCAAAACTCTACCAGGTCCAGGTTGCCTCTATTTGCTGTGGTTAGTGGTGAAAAACTTGCCTTAAGAGGGTCACCAGTGCTGGTGGAGGTCAGGCCAAGTTCTTCAGAGTGGCAATAAAAACGTGACTTGCATATTTTCACAAAGGAAGCTCTGAATTTTCAAGCTGCTCTCCCATTTAACAAGGTTACAGCAGGCAGTTTGCAACCCAGGCAGCACCTGTAAATTGCAGATGTAAAAGGCTTTGCCACTTGAGTGGCAAAATAGATGTTTTTGACAGACAGCAAAATAAATTAGAAATACAAATGAGTAGGAATAGTCTGTGTCTCATACCCATCTTTAAGACTCTCAGCTTTTATTTGGTTTTCTGCATTTCCCTTTTCTGGACCTCTCCTTTCATGCTCACTGTCTTTCCCATCAGTGACTCAGTCCCCGTGTCCATCAGTGACACCTGATCTGTGGAACTCATTGGCCCTTGTCCCGCTCATTGCTCTCCCTTGGAGGTGCTGAGTGGTGTTGAGATGGGCATTTGCCCTCTTCCAAAAAGCTGGGATTACCTCATCAGTCAGGACTCGGAGCTGCAGACGCAGCCTGGCCCTTGGGTGGATGTTCACAGTGAGGATGGCTGAAGCCCCGTTCCTTGCCCAAAACCTGCCCTGCAAAGACAAACACCCTCCCCTCTGCCCATGCTCATTTGATTCTTCCCAATGGTTGCAACCTGTTTCAAAGCAGACAGGGAAAGCACGTGAAACGGCAGGTCTGGGATTAAGCAGCATGGGAAAAGGTCATTTATCAATGCCCATTGTCAAGAGACATCTGTGAGTCAGAGGGATTAAGTGGAAACGTCGATGGTCTGTTTCTTTGTTATACTACACCATGTTGGGCTTTCTGACCAGGCCAAGGCTGCCATGGAAAATCTACGTGTGCTGGTTATAATTAGGTCATGAATAATGGCTCTCCTTTGTGTCACCAGCAGTCATCCTCAGCCCTCCAGAGGTGGCTCAGAACGATGTAGCAATGAAGGGAGCTTTTAATTCTGTTGTTTATGGCATTAGCTCATTTGCCATCGTGTTTAGGGGTGTAGGTCATCTTGCCATGCAACCTCCTCTTTGCTCAGTCATGCAGATGAGGCTGAAATTCTCCAAGCAGCCACCTGTGGTAAGCACCAATGCTTTGGCATTTCATTCCTACGAATTTCCACACAAGAATCTGAGAATATTTATGGGCCTTTTAAAGGTAATAATATATTTTTTTAAAAGACTATCTAGCCCAGCATCTTGTAAGGTGCCTTTTAGCAGTCTCTGAGGGCATAGGGCTGGGCACAGGTCAAACCTCCTGTGAAAAAAGAAGAGATTTTTGAGCTGTTCCTAAATGAGACGTGGTGAATCAGACAAAAATCTCAAAGGAGAGGCTACTCGTCAGGGAGTCATGCTCACAATTAAGGGAAATCAAGAGCTGATTACTCAGATTGGGAAATGTGCTGGATACTGACATCTAGAGCAAGGACGAAAATCACAAGCTACGTGTTGAAACATGAGATGTAAAAGATACTAGAAAATACTGCCCAAGAATACACCATGGAGCCAGGGGAGGTTTAGATTGGAAATTAGGAAAAATTTCTTCATTAAAAGGCTCATCAAGCACTGGAAGGGTCTGCCCAGGGAAGTGGTGGAGCCCCCATCCTTGGAGATATTTAAAAGATGGGTAAATGTGGCCCTTAAGGACCTGGTTTAGTGGTGAACTTGGCAGTGCAAGGTTAATGGTTGGACTCAATGATCTTAAAGGTCATTTTCAACCTAAATGATTCTGAGCCTGATTTTTGCCAAACCAAAAGCAAAGAGGAATAACTGACTTGAATATCCTGAAGGCTTTGGAGATGTCCCGAGGCCATGTGTAATGTTAGTGAGAACAGCATACAGGTCTCCATCCTTGGGCCTGGGCCAAGCAATGTTCATCTGAGTCCCTGGTTCGTACAGTAACCAGATACTGTATGGAAAGGTTAAAGGTTGCAAGCCAAATAGGATAGAGATGGGAAAAACAGACTAGTGTCAGGGCCACTTTATTCCTTTCTGATCTGAAGTGATTTTGGACGACTGCTGCCACGGTAGTCACATGTGAGATCTGAAAGAGAACTGGAGAAATGTGGGGGTAGACAGGAAACATGGAAAACACAGTAACAAGGAAGAAGACTTGGACAGACTGAATCCATGGGCTGAGGCCAA